GGACCACCTCTTGCGCGGCATCTGGGAGCTCAGAGTTGCGAGAATGTCTTGTGCGAAACGGGCCAGACCAACTTGCGCACGGCATCTCAGAGCTCAGAGTTGCGAGAATGTCTCAAGCGAGACGGGCCGGTGTCTCGGGCGAAACGTGCTGCGAGGAAGTGCCGGACCACCTCGAGTGCGGCGTCTCAGAGCTCCGAGTTGCGGGGGCCTCCTGGGGCCTCCTGGGTTCTCCTGGTGACCTCCTGGGGCTTCCTCCTGGGCCTCCTGTGGCCTCCTGGACCCCACCTGGGGCTTCCTGAAGCCTTTTGGGGCTCCCAGGGGGGGATATCTGACATGTGGCCGTCGGGGCCACCCAAAATGGGGGAGGGTGCCACAAGAGCAGGAAAAATCAACGAATCGACACCGGATGTGTATTAACTGGACACGTTCTGATAGGGGGCCTCCTGGGGCCTCCTGGGAGCCTGCTGGGAATCTCCAGGGGACCCCTGGGGCATGTCCTGGGCGTCCTGCGGCCTCCTGAAGCTCTCTGGGGCCTCCTGGGGCTCCCAGGGTCCCAGGGAGGATATGTAACATGTGGTCTTCTGGGCCCCCAGGCTGGACCACCTCTTGCGCAGCATCTGGGAGCTCAGAGCGGCGAGAATGTCTTGTGCGAAACGGGCCAGACCACCTTGCGCACGGCATCTCAGAGCTCAGAGTTGCGAGGATGTCTCAGGCGAGACGGGCCGGACCACCTCGCGCAGGGCATCTCAGAGCTCAGAAGTTTGAGGATGTCTCAGGCGGGCTCCCAGGGTCCCAGGGAGGATATGTAACATGTGGTCTTCTGGGCCCCCAGGCTGGACCACCTCTTGCGCGGCATCTGGGAGCTCAGAGTTGCGGGAATGTCTTGTGCGAAACAGGCCGGACCACCTTGCGCACGGCATCTCAGAGCTCAGAGTTGCGAGGATGTCTCAGGCGAGACGGGCTGGACCACCTCTTGCGCGGCATCTCAGAGCTCAGAGTTTCGAGGATGTCTCAAGCGAAACGGGCCGGACCACCTCGCGCGCGGCATCGGGGAGGTCAGAGTTTCGAGGGTGTCTCAGGCGAAACGGGCCGGACCACCTCTCGCGCGGCATCTTGGAGCTCAGAGTTTCGAGGATGTCTCAGGCGAAATGGGCTGGACCACCTCTCGCGCGGCATCTCAGAGCTCAGAGTTTCGAGGATGTCTCAAGCGAAACGGGCCGGACCACCTCGCGCACGGCATCGGGAAGATCAGAGTTTCGAGGATGTCTCAGGCGAAACGGGCCGGAGCACCTCGCGCGCGGCATCTTGGAGCTCAGAGTTGCGAGGATGTCTCAGGCGAAACGGCCCGGACCACCTCTCGCGCGGCATCTGGGAGCTCAGAGTTTGGAGGATGTCTCAAGCGAAACGGGCCGGACCACCTCTCGCGCGGCCTCTCAGAGCTCAGATTTAGGAGGATGTCTCAGGCGAAACGCTCAATCCCGGACAACTCAGAAACGAGAGTTGTGAGGATGTCTCAGGCGAAACGGGCCGGACCACCACATTTGTTTGAGGATGTCTCTGCTTAGCTTTCCCTCGGCCGGAGTTAGCTTCTATCACAACAGCACCCCGTTCAGCAAGCTGTTTGGGGAAAAAGGTAGGGGTCACCAAAATCGCCATCTCGCGCAGGACTTCCTTACAATTTATTCCGGGATCGCGCTGTCGCGCTGCATTTCCTCACGAATTATTCTTTTGACGCCGCGCCTTCGACACTCGGGAACCACGCTCTCGCTTCGGATTTCCTCACGGATTATTTGGGAATCGCGCTGCCGCTCAAGATCTCCTCGCGATTCATGCAGGACGCACGCTTCAGCAACCCGCCTGCTCGACCTGGCTGCCGGGGCCCGCCTTCCCGACCCGCCCGTTAGGGCCTACCCGCCCGATCCGCCCGTCTGGTTCTGCCACCTGCTTTCTGCTCCTAGCCCCCCTCCTGTTATTTTCTCTGGTGCGTCATCCTCCTCCCTCCCCGTGCCTCTTTTTTCCATCCGTCCGATCATCCCTTGCAGATAATACAACTATGCCCCCAAGTAGGGTGCGATCGGAGGCGAAGAGGGCGGGCACCGAGCGTTTGGAATAGACTTGTTGAAAAGCTCGCGAGCATATCAGAGCGATCAGTCTCAAAATGATGGTTGTTGTTGTGGTTGGTTTTGTTGTATTTGTTGCTGTTGCTGTTGCTGTTGTGGTTGTTGTTGCTGCTGCTGGTGGTGGTGATGTTGTTGCTGTTTTTGTTTTGTTGATGAAAGCGTGTTCCTGGTGGTTGCGTTGCGCCCGGGGGGGGAGGGGCGCAATGCAATCGCGCAGCGCTCGAGCGCGAGAGTGCTTGGGTTGCGACCTCCCCCCCGCGAGGTGCGCCCTCCCGTGCGCGAGTTGCGATCTCTGCTTGCGCATTTTGTGCGCGTTTCGCGCGGCGCTTCATGGGGTTGATGCGGCAGTTTGTATCAGATATGTATCATACAGGCCGTATGGGTTGTGTATCGGGTCCCATAGGGGTTTTGCGGGATTTGCATCGGACCGCGCAATGGGATCTTTACCGGATCCCAAACAGGCCGTATGGGGTATGTGTCGGAACCCATAAAGGCCTCATGGGATGTGTATCGGATCCCATACAGGCCGCATGGGATCTGCATCGGATCACATACAGGTTGCATGCGGTGCGTATCGGAGCCCATACAGGCCGCTTGATGTCAGCATCGGATCCCAATGAGTCCGTATGGGATCTGTACCGGAACCCATACAGGCCTCATGGGATGTGTATCGGATCCTGGACAGGCCGTAATGGAGTCTGTATCGGATCCATGGAAGGCCGTATGGAATTTGTATCATTGCCCATACACGCCGCACGGGATCTGCATCGTAGCCCATACATGCCGTATGGGATATGTATCCGACCCCAAACAGGCCGTATGGGGCATATGTTGGAGCCCGTACAGGCCTGATGGGAGTTGTATCGGATCCCGTGCAAGCCGCATAAGATATGTATCCGATCACGCACAGGCCGCATAGGGCTTGTTTCGGAGCCCATGCTGGCCGCATGGGGTCTGTATCGGATCCCTGGAAGGCCGCTTGGTGTATGTACCGGATCCCATACAGGCAGTTATGAAACCTGTATCGGTCTTGATACAGGCCGTATGAGATATGCATCGGAGCCCGTACAGGCCGTTTGGTATCTTTATCGGATCCCAGACAGGCCGTATGGGATGCGCATCGGATCCCATAGAGGCCGTATGGGATGTGTATCGGAGCCCATATAGGCCGTATGGGATTTGTATCGGAGCCCGTACACGCCGTGCTGGATCCGTTTCGGATCCCATCGGAGCAGTCTATGGTCTGTATCGGAACCCGCATCTGAGCTGGGACCGCCGCGCCTTCTGCGGCCGCGACGTCGTCTTCTGTTTTGGGTATCATCGTCGGGGACCTCGGAGCCATCTTCGTCATTGAGATCATCATCATCAGGCCTGTGCGGCATCGTTGCGAGAGTTCAGCGAAACGTGCGATACCAATGTGATTGTTTTTCTTTTCGATGCAAGCGGAGCGTGGCCACGGCCTTTCTCGCCTGAAACAGTCCAATCTGCTACGTGCGAAGGTGGCTTCCGGCGGGAGTGAAACTGACAACCCGGGCGCTGCCAAAGAAAAGTTGCAAGTTATATCAAGCGTGGTATGCTATGCTGTTATGTGTGCCTGTGGGTCGATGCTGTGCTGATGCTAGAGCATCGGACGCCTCCTGCTGGCGGCTCTGCGAGAGGGGCCCCATCAAGTCTGCCGTCGAGCCCACACGCAGCATGGGCGAGACGGGGCGAGGGGCAGCAGGAGCAGGGGCAGGGACGGAGAATCACTAACTCAAAACAGACGCCCAATCCCAAAAATGTGGGGGCCAAGACAAAACGCAGACACCTTGAGACTTCGGGGAGGGAGATTTTGGGGTAGGGTCTTACCAGGGTGACGACGACGAACGCAAAACATACCCTGAAATCTTTGGCCGATCTTCGAACCCTCGGCGAATGCACGATTTTGGGATTGGGGATGTGTTTTTGCGTGGTCAGAGAAAGACACGCGTTGACATGCAAGGCGTAACACGTAAAACGGCACCCTCTTCAGACTTGTGCCTGTCCTCTGCTGCCTGGAAATACGGCCTGCGGCTTCACCAGAAAGAGTGATCATAGACTGCATGAGCCAGTGCACGACTGTCTCGCGGAGAGCTTCGGACATCTTCGTTCGTGGATCGGTCATCGTGTTAGTGTTGTTGTTGTTGTTGATGATGATGTTGTTGTGTTGTTGGGATTGCATAATACAACATGTTTTTGATTCGCCCCCGGGTGCACTTGGTGTTTTTCAATGAAGGGCCCTTCCCCTCGTCGGGGATCGAATTTTGTTTGTTATCAGGGAAGGTCTCCCTCCTCAAACCGTGCTCCTCGCCCCCGGTTTACAACAACAGCGGCGCCCGCCTGATACTTCCTCACGATGTGTTTCAAAAGCGCGCTTTCGAGCGGGACTTCCTTTTTTTCTTATGCAAAAATCGCGCGCTCGCGAAGTATCCCCTCGCCATTTGTTGCGGCGCCGTGCCCTCAATCCCTCTCGTGCTTCATCCTTCTGCCTCCCCCTTGTCTCTTCCATCCTTCCTCCTTTCCCCAGGTGGTAGGTGTAGAAGATATGCCCCCAGCGGGGATACGATCGAGGACGAACGGAGCAGGTATCGAGAGTTGGGGGTATACGTGTGGAGTGACACGCGAGCAGTTAATATCGAAACATGTAATAACGATTGTTGAGTTTTCATTTCTGAAGAAACATAATGGATGATCCCCCTTCGATTAACCCAATGGTTTTTGCAATTCATGTGCGCCTCCAGGGTCTCGCACTCGGTGTTTTACAAGGCAAACGCTTGGTCCTCAAACTGTGCTGTTGGCCAACAATGTTTTTTCACTCTCATCCGCAATTGCGGGGTGCTGTATCGCTTTTTTTCTTCTGAGGACCATCTGCAGTGGTCGGTCTGGGGCGGAAACAAGTGGCCAGTGAGATTCGAGCCTCCAGCGCCAAGTCAAACAATGAATTCGCGTGTGGCTGCGGGACCACAGCAGGAGCCAATCTTGGCATAATCGACCAGTCAGTAAGTGTGCAGAGCCAGGAGTAGTCTCCTAGGCACCAGCTCTATATCTCACGTACGCGGTCAGCTTCCGCTGGCCTGCGTCTGAACGCGGTCATTCGTGAACGCGGAACCTCGGCGAGCGTACGTGTATCTTTGTTCGCTCAATCTCAGCACCTATTCAGCTGAGTAGGTTTTTCCTCTGAGGCGGAAGGCAGTTTGATTGACCAGTAGTGTGGCAGGACCAGGTGCTCGCAAGCAAGCGGCGTGTTTACGACACCGCTGTGCATGTGATATTTCTTACAATTTCCGTTTCTCTCTGCGGAGTCGATGTTTATATGCGGATGTATTGCTGGCCCAAGGCCTCGTGCAAGGGTGCGTACGACTTGGGTCCGCTTTTTCTTTCTCACTCGAGCCGTGCGGTAATTGACATCGCACATTCTCTTATGTATTAGCTGGTGTCACAGGTCCACGGGTCCAGACGAGGATTTCGTAATGGGTGAAGGAAGCGGGGGGGATCAAGAGGAGGAGGAGGAGGAGGAGCAGGGGAAGGAGGAGGTGGAGGAGGGGGAAGGAGGATACATTCGATGCGGAGGAGGAGCAGGAAGGACATAGCATGTTCATGAAAAGAAGAACACGGGAGGAGGAAGCTGAGACCGGGGACGAGCACTAGGAATCGGAAGCTGGGACGGGGGACTTCTCTGTTGGGCTGCGGCTGGCTTGCGCCAGGCTGCCTGCCTGAGGGGAGCCGCACAAAACTGGGGCGCTCGCGGGCGCCTCGCGCCCTGGAGGCGTGCTCGGACGGGGGCCGCAGGCCCCGGACGCTCGAGACGGACGGCGCCAGGCAGGCCCCGGGCACCACGAAGGGTCCGCGAAGAGACGACGGGGGCCGAGCCGACGAGGAGGCGAGCAGAGCCCAGCGGAGAGCGCTGGGCACCCGGGCGGGGCTGCGCCTGGGCCCCCCCGGTCGTCGCGCAGGAGGCTCGCCGGGAGGCCTCTATGTATAGGGCCATGCTCGGCGGGGGGGCTGCGCCGGCCGGCCCGCGGAGGCTGGAGGAGGGGGGGCAGGGGAGCGGTTTGAGGAGTCGCGCGGAAGGATTTGAGGAGGGATGGTGGCGATTAGGATGATGACGACGTCGACGACGACGGTGATGTTGATGATGATGCTGATGCTGCTGATGATGATGATGATGACGACGATGATGATGGTGATGGTGATGGTGATGGTGATGGTGGTGGTGGTGGTGATGGTGGTGATGATGATGATGATGGTGATGACGATGATGACGATGGTGGTGATGATTTTGATTATGATTATGATGATGCTGATGATGACGATGGTGCGGCTGATGATGATGAAGAAGAAGAGGAGGAAAGAAGGATCAGGACGAGGATGAGGATAGTGATGATGACGATGCTGATTAAGGTGATGATGATGATGATGATGGTGTTGATGATGATGATGATGATGATAATGATGATGATGTTGGTGGTGATGATAATGTTGGTGATGATGATGGTGACGACGACGACGATGATGATGATGATGATGACGATGTTGATGATGATGCTGCAGCTGCTCATGATGTTGATGATGAGGCGGAGGACGAGGATGAGGATGAGAATATGGACGAATATGGTGATGATGGTTATGATTATGCTGATGATGCGAATGACAATGATGATGCTGACGAGGAGTGTGCTGATGATGGTCATGATGTGGAGTATGAGGATGAGGAACATGATAATGATGATGCTGTTGACGGTCATGATGATGGTTCGGATGAATATGATGATGAGGTGGTGATGATGATGGCGATGACGACGACGATGTTGATGATGATGATCATGACTATGATGCTGCTGCTGATGATGATGAGGCTGATTCTGCTGTTGATGGTGATGATGATGAGGATAACGATGCTGATCATGACGATGATGATGATGATAATGATGATGATGATGATGATGATGATGATGATGATGATGATGATGATGATGATGATGATACTGATGATGACGATGCTGACGCTGATGCTGATGCTGCTGCTGATGATGAGGATGATCATGCTGATGCTGATTATGTGGATGATGCTGATGTTGATGATGATGCTGCTGATGATGATGAGTATTATTATGATGATGCTGCTGGTGATGATGTTGTTGTTGTTGAGGAGGATGATGAGGAGGAGGAAGAGCAGGGTTATGATGTCTATGATGGTTATGGTGGGCTTTACCTATCAGAACGAGCCCGGCCTTTGAAGATACTAGTTCCCGGTGTAGCCCTGGCCACATTTCAAGATCGGCACCCTTCCCTCGTCGTTCAGACTGGTGCCCTCGCCATCCTCCATTGTCGTTGCCAGCCCCCCTCTTTTCCACTCCTCCACCTTTCCCTGGTTCTCCTCCTCCCGCTCCTTGCAGTCCTCCTTCCTCATCTTCCGCCTCCTCCTCCTGCTCATCCGCCACCACCTCCTCCCCTGCCAATGTACACAGCTTCCCATTTTGATTGGGCGACACACGATGAGGTCACCTTTGGGATTCAGGCCCGCCAGGGCACCCGTCGGCGGATAGAAGGTAAACACCGCGCAGTGTAAGCGCATGGGTGAGAGGGGGTAGGCTGTCAGATTTGGCGCGAACGCACCTTGCTTGCCTTCCCCCCTCCATCTCCCCCCCCCTCGCCCTCCCCATCTCCCTTCTCTCCCCACTCTCCCCCCTGCCTCCCCCTATTCCCAGCTTCCCGTTGTGTGCGATCGCCCGCCCCCCTCCCCCCAGGCCCTGCCAGGACGCGCGAGGCGGCCGTCGCCGTCGCCACGCTTCCTGGCGCCGCGGCAGCCAGGGCGCCTACCCCCTCCTCCCCCCCCTCCTCCTCCTCCTCCTCCTCCTCCTCCTCCTCCTCCTCCTCCTCCTCCTCCTCCTCCTCCTCCTCCTCCAAGGAGATCCACACGAGGAAGATGCGGCTGGCCCTGCAAAAGGTCGCCCCGCACCACTCCTCCTGGCGCGCGGTGCGCGCTCGCGGCGAGGTCCACTCTGCGGGGACGCCGGTGGTGCGGATCGAGATCCGCGGCCAGGACACCGAGTCCGACGTCCAATGGAACCATGCCGCCGCTGACCACCTGCGTCTGGACAAAGATGCAGTCCTTCGTGAGTTCCGCGCCTCCACCGTCACGGCCGACACGGTGGAGTGGCGTGTTTAACGACCGCTTCGCCCCCTGGAGCTCGGCAAGCTCACCCGGGAAGGCAACGGTGGTGAGCTGGAATGCCAATGGGCTCCTGTGCTATCGCCGCAAACGGCGTCTCCGCAAACTGCACGTGCTCTGCGAGCACATGCGACGCGGAGCCGTTGTGGTCATCCAGGAGGTCCACGGCTCCGAAGTGGCCCTTCAAAAATGGCTAGCGGCGCAGCCTTTTGAATACGACTTCCGCGCCTCGTTCCTGTCGGCGCGAGCTGGCGGGGTGGCCACGCTCTGGCCGCGACGCCTGCACGCCGGTCAACCCGTACAGGCGCGCCACATCCCGCTCGCCCGAGGCCGCGCCATGATCCACGATTTCAGCCACCTTGACGCCCACTTCCAGATCCGATTGCTCAACGTGCACAACTATGAGCTGTCGGAGCGGGCCCGGCAAGATATCGGGCGTTGCTGGCGACAGGCAGTGGCGTGGGCTGCTCAGGACAACCAGCACCGTCTTTTCATCGCCGTGGGTGACTTCAATCTTGGCGAGACGGTCCCACAGAGCTATGAACACCCGAATCCTCGGCATGCCACCCTTCGACCCCGTGTGGGCCATCATGCACATGCGTCGTCATGGCAACCACTGTTTGATATGATGGTGGAAGTTGCAACGGACACCCCAACCCACTTCGACCGCCAGCACTACTCCGCGAACACCCTGGACAGAATCTTCCTCAGCCTCCCCTCGAGCGACCTCGAGCAGCTCCACATGCAGGTAGAGGTTCTCCTAGATGTAGCAGGGATGTCAGACACTCGTTTGAGTGATCACGCGGTGGTGCGCCTCAGCCTGGGCTTCCAGACGGGGCTGCCGCCGTCGGATCGACCCCTCCCGGCTTTCATCTTCAAGAGCCCCCTTTTCGGCGCCAAGCTCGGCCAGCTCCTGGAGATGTCGCACCTGGACCACCTCCCCGTGGTGCAGCGCTGGCAGTGCCACAAGCAACTCATGCGGATGGCCGCTCAATTCGTCCGCGACCACTCGCAGAGGCTCCCCGGCGACGATCCCACGCCGCTGGCGAAGCAGGGGCGCCTGGTCACGCTCCGGGCCATTGCGCGGGCGTGCTGGCGGCAGGACGCCCGGGTGGCGCACATCCTGAGGAACAACACCGAGCTCGGCGCCATGCACATCGACGTGGTGAACGGCACAGTGGTGCTCTCCGACCCGCAGGAGTTCGCTCGCGTCGCCCGAGCCGCTAACGAGACGGAGCAGCTACGCCTTCGTGAGGCCGCCGCACGCCAAGCTCGCGAAGCGTGGGCTGCCAACCAGCCTCTGGCGGCAGAGGGCCGGCGACGAGCCGAGCGTGTGGCTGTGCGGCGCGCTCTAGCCTGGGCCCCCTTCCGTCGCAGGGTCATCCTGGAGGGCATTCGAGTCGACGACTCATCGGCTGGTGCCCGGGTCGCCACCGATCACCAGACCATGCTCGACGCCATTAAAAGGCATTGGGGCCCGATCTTTATGAAGCCGTCCGCGTCCGAGGAGGAGATCGAGGCCTACGTCAACATGCACATGCCGCCCGGCGACGTCTTGGACTTGGCGGTCCCCTCCGAGGCTGAGGTAAAGGCCGCGCTGAGGACAGGACGACGATCGCAGCCAGGACCAGACGGCTTAACCTATGACGCGTGGCTCCAGCACCCGGCGTCGCTGAGCGTCCTCTTGGACCTGCAATCGCACCTGTACTCGGGCGGCGACGTCCCCTTTCACCTCAACGACGCGGACGTGGCCTGCATCCCTAAGGGGGAGCTCGTGGAAGACACCGTCGCGGCGCACCGCTCGCCCGAGGCCCTCCGCACCCTCATGCTCAAGAACACTGACATCAAGGCTCTCGCCAGCGCGATGGCTTTCAAGCTCCGCGACCCGGTGCAGGAGCGGGTGCACGAATCGCAAAAGGGGTTCGTCCACGGCAGGAACTTCTGCAGCCACGTGGTGGCCCTTGATGCGGAGGCGCGGCGCGCCGGCATTCTGCCGCGGGCGGAGGAGCGGATGCCGACTTTCACGAGCTACGACTTTGCAGCCGCCTTCCCAAGCCTGTCCCGGATATGGCTCACGTGTGCACTGCGGCGGCTTGGTCTCCCGATTGGGTACATTTGGATGTTCAGCGCCTTGTACTTCCAGCCGATGACGTGGATCCGAGTGGCTGGGCGACGGCTCCGTTTTCTCCCTGTACTGGCTGGGGTAGCCCAGGGATGTCCGGCTTCTGGAGTGGCGTGGGCGGTGGCCATGGACCCCGTCTTGCGATCAATCTGTGCGGCTTTCCCGTCGCCGGACGCCAGCTACGTCGGAGGCTGCGCGGACGACGTGGGTATCGTCAGCTACGACATTGGTGCTATGAGCCTCCTGTCAGCGCCTTTCCGCGCCGCGAGACGTCTCGCCGGACTGGCGCTGCAGGCCACCAAGTGCGTGGTAGTGCCGCTTTATGCGCTCCCGACACCTCCGGTCGTGGCGCGGCTCGCGGAAAAGCTGCGTTTGCTAGGCGAGGAGTGGGGGCAATTCAAGGTTGCATCGTACGCGCGCTACTTAGGACTGTTCGTGGGGCCGGGCGCCGATAGAGCACGGCAGTGGCACGGCCCACTGCAGAAGTGGTGGAGCCGCTCTCACCAGATTCCTGCGACCAACGCCCCGCCCGACAGCGCGGTCCGTTTGTATGCTTCCCACGCGGTGACGACACTGTCATTTGTAGCCCAATGTGTGCCTCTACCTCGGATGGCTCGCTCGGAATTCCTGGCCCTCCACTCGCTCCTCAAACTCCCTCCCAGTTCATTCGCTCGCTCTGAGCTTTTGAGTCTTGCAACGTGGTTCCCTGCGGGCGCCCCGCCCTCCTTGGAGGTCATGTCCACCGCTGCGCGCATGCGAATGGCTGTGCACACTCTCCCGGATTGGAGGCTGGCCTTGGATCGTCTGCGGAGCGCGGCGGAAGATCATGCGTTTCACATGGACTTCAGGAGGGGAGAGTGGTCGCCGCGTTTTTGGGAGGACCCGACGGCATTTGCCCAGCACCTGGCTGCGGCTGCGGAAGGTAACGAAGACTTGCCGCCATTTCGGGCGAGGGATCTACAGGCGGCTCGACAGGCAGCGCAGGGAGAGCGCCAGCAGGCAGCGGTGGCGAGCAGGAAACCCCACATCCAGCGTGCCATCGCTCGGTCCCTCTTGCCCGCCTCTTTCCCTGACCGTCTCCACCTCCTCCACCGCCGCCTCCGCGCATGGCATGGCGGAGCAGCGCCCAGGACGGTTGACGAGATGAGGGAGGTTTGGGGTGAGCTTCGGAGGGAACTTGTCAAGGTTCGACCGTCCTGGCGCTGGGCTTTCCTCAAATAGGCATGCGGTGGTTGGACGACCCGTGGACGCATGCACGTCCTCCGTGGTCGACCCTGTCGTTTCGGATGCCCCGACGCACGTGCCTTCGACGATTTCCGCCACTACTTCACGTGCCCCTGCCTCACTGGTCTCCTCTTTCCTCCCTCGTTCCCGACCCCTGCCGACCCAATCCAACGGTGGGCCTTCGGCACCTTCTACCCTCCCGCTGGACAGCTCGCTCGTCGCGCCGCCATTCGACGAGTCGTGCTGGCCTTTCACATTTATAACAAAGTCAAGGATGGCGAAGAGCGCCCGTCTGCTGCCGCCGTGGCGCGTGCATATCAGGCCGCGGTCTTCGCATGCCAAGAGTGAGCCGTGAGCGCAGCTCCAGTTCACTCACTGCTTGCGCCCCCTCCCCTCACCCTCCGGCCTTGTTTGGTGGATTGGCTATCAATGTAAATGTCTGCCCCACCTCGGCGCCAACCGGATTCTGAATGTCACGGAGTTTGTGCGTCGCGTGCCGGCCCGGTGCTCATGCTGGACACGTGTCCGCATCAGTGCCCGGCTTTTTCCATATCTATTGGCGGTCGGCTGCCCAAGCAGTTGCCCCCTATCCATGTCCAGAGGCCGGCCTCTGACTGCGTATGGCTGTCGAGGCATCCAGCCGTCGTGGTCGACGAACCGGCGCGCCGCAGCGTACTGGCCCTCCTCCTCCTCCTCCTCCTCCTCCTCCTCCTCCTCCTCCTCCTCCTCCTCCTCCTCCTCCTCCTCCCCCCTCCTCCCCCTCCCCCTCCCCTCCCCCTCCCTCCTCCTCCTCCTCCCTCCTCCTCCTCCTCCTCCTCCCTCCTCCCTCCTCCTCCTCCTCCTCCTCCTCCTCTCCTCCTCCTCCTCCTCCTCCTCCTCCTCCTCCTCCTCCTCCTCCTCCTCCTCCTCCTTCCCCCTCCCCCTCCCCCTCCTCCCTCCCCCTCCTCCGCTCCTCCTCCTCCTCCTCCTCCTCCTCCTCCTCCTCCTCCTTCCTCCTCCTCCTCCTCCTCCTCCTCATCCTCCTCCTCCTCCTCCTCCTCCTCCTCCTCCTCCTCCTCCTCCCTCCTCCTCCTCCTCCTCCTCCTCCTCCTCCTCCTCCTCCTCCTCCTCCTCCTCCTCCTCCTCCTCCTCCTCCTCCTCTCTCCTCCTTCCCAGAAGGGAGGGACGGAGAGGGGGAGAGGGGGCGGGATCGGAGGAGGGCCTCTTCGAGGCCACGGCGGCCCACGCCCTGCGCTCTTCGTCCTCGGCGGGGGGCCTCCCGGGGCGGAGCCTCCTCGAGGACTC